TCAAAAAAAAAAAAAGAACAGTGCCTAACCCATAGCAAGTGCTTGAGTGTGTCATCATCATTAATCCCCTTCAGCCATCAGTCCTCCTGCTTTCCCTTCCAGTATCTTGCTCAGGGAAGGCATGTCCTCTTCGTGTCCCCTAGACTCTGGACCCTCCTCTCCTTGCTCACCAGGGTATTTCATCCCTCTAAACTTCAATGTCTTTATCTGTGAAATGAGCCTGGGAACAATGGAGTCTCCTTCATAAGGTTGCGGTGAAGGTTAAGTGAACCCATTCAGGCGCTGAAGTCAGAGCTCAATGACTATTCACTCTCATTACTGTTATTGCTGGAGCACAAAGGGCTGCGAGAAGAACCTTTGAGATCTTGGAGAGAGCTCTGACAGCCAAAGGGTCAAAGTAGAAGGAGCATTAGGGTTAGCTAGGGCTGGAATGCTGCCCCAGGAGCTGGGGAGACCGGACTTGTCATCACAGCGCTGTGCCGGGAGTAGATGAAGCACAGGGTCATGTTACGTGGACAAGAAAGCAGCAGGGTGTCCAAAGACGATGTGGCTCAGGAAACCTGACAGACAATTTCAAGAGAGACCACTTCAAGGCATTTAAGTGTTCAAACTCAGCAATAAACAACTTCCTCTTCTCTTTCTGTCCCAGGATGAAAAAACAGAAACACCCAACAGGTCGCGCGTTGCAATGACCATGAGTGTGCCACTGCACTCCCTCCAGCCTGGGCAACAAGAGTGAGACTCCAACTCAAAAACAAAAAACAGAACCAAAACAACTCTCATTGTTTGGTGTTACTAAGTTCTAGACATTCTTCTAAGCACTTAATAGACATCATCTCTTTTACATTTGACTTCAACCCTGAAAAGTAGGTATTATCATTTGCATTTTACAGATGAGAAACTGAGACTTAGAGAGATCAAGCAATTTGCCAAAGGTTCTATACCTGGTAAATTGCAAAGCCAGGGAACAGCCTTCCTGATTTTGAAACAGTCTTACTACTTACAATTCTCCCACTGGACACCAGCCCAGAGGTTTCTCCAAGCTGCAGACGCCACTCCTTTGAAATCATCTAGCTTTGATATTATCTGGCTGCTACTTTAGTAGGATTAGAACTATTTCTCCAGCCGGGCTCTGTGGCTCAACCTGTAATCCCACGATTTGGGAGACTGAGGTGAGTGGATTGCCTGAGCCCGCGGGTTCGAGACCCACCTGGGCAACTTGATGAGACCTCATCTCTACAATAAATCAAAAAATTAGTTGGGCGTGGTAGTGCGCACCTGTAGTTCCAGCTACTTGGAAGGCTGAGGCGGAAGGATCACCAGAGCCCAGCAGGTCGAGGCTGCGGTGGTCAGGAGCGGCCACTGCACTTCCAGTCTGGGCTACTGAGTGAGACTCCAACTCA